AACAAACATATGGAGTCCTACTTAAGTGATTTGTCTGTTCATGACCAATCCATTTGGAAAGCCACGAAAAATATGAGAAGACCAACCTCCACGGTATCTCCAATTAGAAATGATGATGGTTCTTGGTCTAGATCAGCAGAAGACAAGGTTATTACCTTTGCAAATCACCTTGAAAAGGTTTTCACTCCTCATCCTTGTAATGTACCTAACGATCAATTTATCACAGATTACTTGAATGACGGTAATTTCACAGACGAACCCATTTCAAAAATTAAGTATTTTGAAGTGCTCTACGAGATTAGTAACACTAAATTGGGAAAAACTCCTGGTAATGATGCGATTACATTTGATCTAATAAAACACCTTCCTGATAAAGCTAAGAGATTTTTAACTATATTATTTAATGCCATAATACGGCTGAAGTATTTTCCTTCATCGTAGAAATTAGCGAAAATAATCTTAATTCTCAAGCCTGGAAAAAATCCTACTGATGCAGTTTCCTACCGGCCCATTAGTCTTCTGTCTTGCCTCTCAGAAATTTTTGAAAAAGTTATTCACAAAAGAATCATCAATATTTTAGAAGATAACAATTTTATGCCAAAACATCAATTTGGGTTCATTAGGCAACACTCAACAGTAGAACAAATACATAGAGTTGTGGATTCCATTTATAAAGCCTTTCACTTAAAAAAATATTGTTCACCCCTTTTTCTTGACATCAGTCAGGCGTTTGATAAAGTTTGGCATAACGGCTTGTTGTACACATTAAAGAAGAATTTACCATACAACTATTATCTCCTCCTAAAATCATATCTGTGTGATAGAAGGTTCTTTGTCAGTTTCAATGATGCTTCATCTAATGTTAAAAATATTTCTTCCGGAGTTCCCCAAGGTAGTGTTCTTGGTCCGCTGCTTTACATTATATATACTGCTAATATACCTACAAATGCAGAAACCATGATTGCTACCTTTGCAGATGATACGGGAATTCTAGCTCAACATAACAACCAATTGCTTGCCTCGGAAATTCTACAAAAACATGTAGATGAAGTAGAAAAGTGGCTGAAACTATGGAGAATAAAAGTGAATAACTCTAAATCAGTTCACGTTACTTTTACCTTAAGTCAAGGTTCATGCCCCCCTGTTAGATTGAATGGTGATTTGGTTCCTGTATCCAATGTTCCTGCTCCAAAATACGTTCCCAATTGGTTGATACATCAAGATCTCAGAATCCGAACTATAGAAGAAGAAATTAATCTATACTGCATCAGATATAAAGCTCGTCTAAGTCGTCATCCAAACGTATTAGCGTCAGATCTGCTCAAGCCTTTACCACCAAAGCGTCTCAAAAAAAGAATCTGCAATGACTTGCTACAAAATTTAACATAACTTCTATGAAGGCGCTATCGCAGGATAGCGATCCTTCTCACGTAGACAAATAATATATAACTGTAACAAATGTAGCTGAATGTACTTTGTAAAAAAAAATTATTAAACATTAAACTCGTGCAAAAGAATATCATAACTTTAACAAAGAGAAATTAAAAGAGCACATATTCATAGATAAATAAACACATTGCCCTCCTATATTGCATGTAGTTTGCTCTCTGTGCATTGTGACACAATTGAATTCAAGGTTACGCGGCACGTGCGGTAGAGTGAGTGAATACGGGGTGTAAGAAACAAAAGAGAAATGAGAAACAGAGAAGGGATATAACGAACGAAAGATTCTAACACTGTAAAGAATTACTTTTCATGAAATTTTAATGACTTTGTAACTGTTATGTAAAAGATGAGAGGAATTCCGTTTGTTGACACAAGAAGTATTAAGGGATATAAGTAACGACTCAATTATCTTTCTAAGGTCACAATTCTCTTCAATATATAGTATGGTAGGATTTGACATGTTGAAAGTATAGTTCAAGTTAGTCATATATTCTGATAGCATAGTTTTGAATTGATTTGGGTTTCTAGAATTATACATTATTATATATATGTTGATTTTATATGTTGAAGGTGTTTAAATTTAATGTTGAAATGTATGATTAATTTCTTGAAGGGCGTAACATCAAGTATAAAATATAAATAAATAAAGATTTTTAAAATATCCTCATATTTCCATACGTTTCGACGTAAAATTCTACGTCATCGTCAGTGGTTCTACAAATTAAAAAAAAAACAGAATAAGTAGCGTTAAAAACTAAATATGAACAGAACAAGAATAAAAAAAGAAATAGATTCTCTAAAAAGACAGATTAATTAAATCTAAATCTTAAATTTAAAAAATGCATAAAAAATTACTTACTTGAAATTTTTAGGTTATCACTTATACATATTAACACCAACTTGTAAGTAATTAATAATTGGAAACAAGCACTAAATATCTATTACTTTTTTTAAAAGAATAAAAAATAATTAATAAATAGAATATTATCAAAAGCACCCGCTCATCCGAGGCAATATTTATTTCTGTAAAAATTCTAAAATGCGAGGCGGAAATTTTTGGAAAACATGTGTTTGTATAAAACACAGTACAACACGCTGTGCAAGTGTGTGTGATACTGTTGAGCATAGCGTGGTGCTAGGTATTCAAATGGGCAAACATTATTCAGAACATATTGGTAATTTTTGCAGAGAATGCTGGTATCAGTTTGTTTATTAATACTATGTTTGTCCAAAAAAATAAAAGCCGATTCCGCAAAGCGTCTTTGTGAGACTATCGAATCATGATGAAAAGCCTTTGTGTCATAAAACGTATGGTTAGAAAGGCTTTGCAATCTCTAATATTTCGCAGGATGTCTTTATAATTTTAGAAGAGTTTATTTTGGATTGCAATAGTCTTTCAAACTTGTTTTTATAAAGTAATTTTTGGTTGGCGCAAAAGCTCTTATAACGAATCGATTCAAACTCAAAGAAACTTTCGAGGATTACAGCTTCTACCATATTGAACAAGTAGTTATTTTATTAATAGTAAGTTTTAGATTTTGTATGTTGCAAATACAGTTTTTGATTTCTAGGAAAATCATTTGTAAACTTAATGAACTGAATTTATTGTTGATACTCTTGTTAAGATGAGAGAATTTTTCTAATTTAAGGCGATAGAAATTTGGAACTATACTTTCTTTCCTACAGCGTAGTAAAAGGATATGTTTATTTGCGTTTTCTCCAATATGAATCCCAAGATTTTTCAACGTCCTAATAATTACACATCCAATCATTCTTTCTATTCTTTTATAAAAAAACATCAAATCAACAAAAAATTTTATCAGTTCTTCATCTTGTCAATACAAGTAAAATGTTTTTTAAATTATTAAAATCGGACGCTCCGTTCTCTTAAAAACTGAGTTACTGTTTTTGACACTTTTTGCCACGTATCTTCGGAACGGTTAGACCTGCCTTCGCCAAAAACTAATCAGCACGTCTCTTTATCAATATGAATCGAATGATTTCTGAATTATTCAAATCGGTTGATCCGTATTCCCGAAATCTTCGACAAAAATTTGTATCCGCACACACACAACACACACACATACATCATTTTTTTCTAAGGTATGCCAAAATGTTCAAAAACCTTTGAAACGTAAAGATATATAAAAATGTTCATTTTCGTTTTTTTTGCGATTACTATAACTTGCCATACGGGAAGTTAAAAAATACATCATGGTCGAGCCTTTGCGTGAAAGGACCTATGTCGGAGGCTGCAATTTTCTAAGAAATGCAAAATGATGCATCGCATTCATTCCACGCGAATGCATCGTGCATTGAAATACAATATTGTCAAACCGCCATGAATATATTCTGACCAATAACAATAATGTTTTCTTTACTTTTATTAAATAAAAATCAATGAATGAAAAGGAAATCATAGTTATGTGATGCTTTCACGCCATGGAGCTGCTTTTGGGTAGACAACAAATTATTATTCTTATTATTTACTACCACGAATAAAGCTTAAGTCTTCGTTAAAGACTATGCTCGTATAATCTAACGCGCTAATTGTATAATTGCCAATATATAATTAGCTACTTAAAGAACAAGAATACAAAACTTTGTTTTTTCAGTTTACTAATTAAACAATCAAGAATATTTTCAAATTGAAAATATGGCACCTATTCAACCAGCCTCCTGACAAGTAAATATAGAAATATATGCACTCACAATTTTCTATAAAAATAAATAGTTAATTAAAAACACAGAATATACTTAAAGAAAATTACATTAATATACTGTACATTTATGTGTTTCTGTTCAATATTACAACAATTTTGTAAAAATGTGAATAGGTTATATATATATATATATATATATATATATATATATATATAATGTATTCTGAGTGGATAGATATTAATTTAGAAATATGAACAAACAACACTCTTTTGTTATGTAAATGTAAAATTATTATTTAATAAATTAGTGCAAAAAAAGTGTTGGTTCATATTTCTAAATTAATATATATATATATATATATATATATATATATATATATATATATATTGAATAGATTTGAATTTGATGTTGATATAATATATTTTATTTGAGTTTGAAAGTCGAGCGTTACATCAATAAAAAATAGTACAATTCTTTAATGTATAAAGCAAACATATTACATGAGAAGAATGAGTCTCTGAGTCAGGTAAATCGTTAGAGAGACTCATTGTATAAATACAAGTTTAATATTTATATTACATAGTGCAGTGCATTACCATATCCTGATAACATGGGTTATTAAAATCTTCCAATTTAACACTAAGCTTAACTAATTTTAAGTACTATTTACTCTTTTTATTTTTTCTTTTCACCCCAATTCAATAGTTTTAGTTTTTAATTTTATTTTTAGTTTTCACTGAATGAGGGCTAGGATTATAGCCAAAACGTATGGATTTAAAATAAATTTTTGAAAAAAATTCATATTTTTTATTGATGTTATGCCCGATTACTAGATTTTTTAATGTATATATATATATATATATATATATCGCATCAAATTTAATACATTTCTATACAAAATCGGAATATAACAAATAAATAATGTTTATTTGTTATATTGATCGATTTAGCTGTAACTACAACACGAATTTGTTTTCTTTGCTGTCTTGTAGAATGCTTTGCTTTGAATTGATAACATCTCCGATTTGTTAACAAGATCATCTAACTTTTCCCCACGTTCCAAAACAGCTCCTAGCGTGTTATGCTGCAACAAATACAAATAAAAATTATAAATAATTTTTTTTTTATTTTCTTTATGTAGATATCATTATATGTATTATATCATTATATATATTATATCATTATATAGATATCATTATATGCATTCCAGATAAAGATGTTATCATCATTACCAATAATTATAAAAACTTTGATAACAAAAACTACAGTTTTCAGCAGAACTGGAGACAATGAATTCGATTAGCTTTCTATACATCGAACTTATACTTAGCTACCCTATAATGTATAAGAGACAACAATTAATTACCAACGAGTGCAAGAAACCAATCAGTACCAGTCGATACCAAAATTGCCTTTAATACCATCCTCTTAAGATAAAATAGACACAATAATAAATTTAATCGCGCAATATATTAGTCGATAAAAAAATTCGATGACACTAACATCGATCTAGTTAAAATCACACTAATAAATAATGCTCTCCCACTATCATTGTAAATTCAGTCGTATGTCAGGCCTAAGTATCTACCTAAAACAATCTCACTGACCAAAAGATCTGATTAGACCAATAATCATATACCGGTGATAATTTTCGTCGACAAAATTGTTTCATCAGAGTGTGTTATAGAATTTTGATAAGCAAAGAAAAGGGCAACAGGTCCCTGAACGAGTCACATTCGTGATTTTTTAATAAAATGCCAGAATATTTTTAAAATGATGGAATTTAATCGTTATTGATTTTCTTACAAATTGTTGAACACATGTTAAACCTTCATGACACACACACATACACACACACACATATATATATATATATATCTATATATCTAAATATATATATAAATCTCGTGTCACGATGTTGGTTCGCGATGGAACAAACTACTGGACCGATTTTAAATTTTATTGGCTCATCGTGTGCATATATATCCAACTTAGGTTATAGGAAATTTTGAAAAGTAAATTCAAAATATAAATACATAATTTTTATAAATTTCAAAAAATTTTGACAGAAGACCAAAAAAAAAAACAAAACACTAAAATGACAAATGTCAAAATATATGGAAAATTCGAGAAAAAAAGATTAACGATTTGACAGTGCAAAAAATATAATTCAAAAACATCCAACATTTAGATGCAATGCTATATTCAAAATCACTGTTTATAGTTTTAAATCTAATTAAAAATCAATGTTTATAAATTTAAATAAAAGTTGACATTAAAAAAACGTGAATTGACATTTGTCGATATTCATAAAAATTATTAGATAAATAGATTTATAATTTATTTTTATTTGATTTGCTTACGAATTAGTTCGGATACTAAAACTTCCTCAAAACATTATAGATCACAATAAAAAAACGACATATTAAATTTAATATTAATAATAAACAAAATTTTGACGGTTCAGAAAAATTGAATTTTTAACGACTTCAATAAGAAACAAATACGTTAATTATTCCAAGTTTTGTTATAGGCAATATTGTAGATACAAAACATTATTGAAAAATATATTATATGTTAAATTTCGACCAAAAAGGAAATATTTATTGTATTATATTTTTTATAAATTTCTATAAATTTTGACAGAAATTTACTAAAAAAAACAAAACACTAAAATGACAAATGTCAATATTTATGGAAACTTCGAGAAAAACGATTTATGATTTTTGAAAAAAAAATTACAATTCTAAAAATATATTATTTTTACTAATTGAAAAAAGAACAGATATATTATAATATATCCAACAGTTATATCCAAATTAGGCAAAATGCTATATTCAAATTAATAGAAATATATAATGTTTATTGATTTAAATAAATTTTGATAGTTGTAAAATAAAAAAAGGTAAAATGTCATTTATCAATATCTATGAAAAGTATTAGATGAGTAAATTGATAATTTATATTTATTTGGTTTGCTTAACAGATTAGTTCGGAAACTAACACGTCCTCAAAACATAATAGATCAGAATGAAACAGCGACATATTAAATATAACTTTAATCGTAAACAAAATTTTGACAGGTCAAAAGAATTAATATTTTTAACGAATTCAAATAGGAACAAATACATTAATTATTCCAACTTATATTATAAGCAATATTACAAATCACATTTAGGATACAGAATAATAAAATTTATCAAATTGAAATAAATATGGGCGGTTACGAATTTAAAACAAACGCCGAAAATGACGTTTGTTAATATTCCGAGAAATTTATGAATAAATTGATTTTTGATTAAGATATAATTTGCTTAAGTTGTTCATTCAGGTGAACATCACAAAATTAATAGAAATCATGATTGAAAACTGAATATTATATCATATCATATTAAATTTCGAAGTGCCAAAAATCAAACATTTAATAGTTTTGGACTCCCTCTGAACTTTATCCATATTAGTTTCAGGGTTAGTATGAATATGAATTTATAGTCGGAAATTTATATTATAAGTGTTTCGTAAGTAATAAAAAATTTAAAAAAATACATTGAAATCGAAGAGTGTCTAATCATAAATTTATGGAAAATTTTCAAAGAAAATATTAAAGGCTTATAGCAAGTTTCCAATAGTATGTGAAACCATTCCTAAATAAAGCATCGTAGAACATGTTAAAATGTTAGCAAATTTATAAAAATCGCTTGGTTATTCATTATACATTTTGTAATGTACTCATTTATTCAAATGTATAATTATTTCAGTTTATTTATTATTTAAGTTTTAAAAAAAACTTTAATCAATAGTATTGATCCATCATATTCAAATTTCAATCCGGATTTTATTTATTTTTGGATTGATATGAATTTTTTATAACAGAAGGTTTGAAATTTGGTTGCCAAACGGATTCAAATTTCAATCAGATGGATTTTAATAAGGGCCGTTGCAAAGCAAGGCCGGGTATGCTAGTATATATATATATATATATATATATATATATATATATTTGAAATATGTGAGTTTGGTGTTGATATATATTTTGATGAGTTATTTAGAATCGGGCAGTAACACCAAGTAAAAAAACTAAAGTAGTTTTAAAATACTTTATTTATCCATACGTTTCGGTCTTCATCGAGACCGTCATTCAGTGGAAAAACTAAAAGATTTTGTATGATGTAGGAGGAAAATAATATATAAAGTTATAGAACTTATATATAAATACTTACAGAAATTAATTATACAAAAATACACTACACTATTACACTGTGATACACCAAGCTATTAATAACTGGAACATTTAAACTAATTATTTTTTGACAATTTTTGGTTACATTCTAGTGTGTACAAATTGACTAACGTCTAAATCCAACGTGGGGCGCACGTTCCATCGGGGGAAAATTTGTAATTTCAGGGGGGCAATTTGAAAATTTTGGTGATTTTAATGTAATGTAGTATAGTATCGGTAAAACATTTAACAAAAAAATGCTTCTTAGATTTAAAATAATAAGGTGTCCCGGTTTGGCCGGTTATGTAGAGTGTTTGTTGAAAGATGAAATATCAAAACAAACATTTTGGTCAAATTTTGAATTTTTATTTCGGCAAATGGTAAAACCATCATCCCAAAAAATATGTGCTGTTTATGGCGTCGAAGCCTTTAAAAACAGCTATGTTAAAATTGGTTTAAAAAATGTCATTCTGATAATTTTTCACTCAATGCTGCTCTGATTGTCCAGTTAAAGTTTTGGACAAACTAATTAAAGCAATAATCGATTGAGCTAATAGAAACAATTTGTCTATGTTCAAAAATTATTGAGGGTTGGTGAAAATTTTTCTCCACATCCACCAAATGTTCCTGACCACAAACCATCTGATTTAATAAAACACTTAAATTTAAAAAAAAAATCATGATGGTGTCAAATTGTGTCCAATTCAGTTCTTGCTAATAAAAACTAGAAGTTTTATAAACTTTGAATAATGATGCTTCTTGGAAAATAACAAAAGGCCATCGATCAAAATGGTATACATAACAAATTTATTTAATTCTACCCAAAAATTGTCTTTGATTTTCTAACAAAAAATGCGCACTTACTTAGTTGCCAACGATAACTATCAATTTCTATAAAAATATGCGCACTTACTTAGCTGCCAATCTGATAACTAAAAATAATTTAACAAAAAAATATATAATATTAAGATATAATTCCGCTCTGAGAAGAAAATGTCAAGTAGATTAGTTAAGAAATGGCTTCATGAAGAAACTGAAACCAAATGCCCAAATGTAATCATATGTACAAAAATTTTCTATAATTTATTGAAAAAAAGAAAAAGCTTAGATTAGAATCTAATATAAAATCTTTATTCTAGCTTAAGTATTGCATTAAATAAATTTCGAAAAAACAGTAATAAAAATTAGTTTGAAATTTCCGTATGTTGGCTTATTCCGAAATTTTATTTATGATGTTTAATAACAATTTAATAGCGATTTCATCTTAAAAGTTATCATTCACATTTTTTCTGGGAGAAAAAAAATGTATGGGGGGCATAACGGTTTTATAAACTTCAAGGTGGGGCGGGGCCCAAAAAAGGTTGGGTATCACAAACAATCACTGGAATAAATTTGTCAGCTGTCTGATGAGCGGTTTGAAAATGATTGCAGTCTGAAGTTGGTTGCAATACATATCAGCCACCCTGTATATATATATATATATATATATATATATATATCATGTATAAAATTCTTCTGTAACAATGTATGAATGGTTAATCCTCCTAAAGTATTGTTCGGATTTTCATAAATCTTGCGGAAGTTTGTTAAGGGAATTTTCTAGGATTTTTAGATTCTTAGAAATATAGTTAGATTGTAGAAATAAATTGAAAAAATTACAAAAAACCGCTTACCATTGTTTGACCTTGAAAATATTTGAAGCTTAGTTTGACATTAAAAACAAATGAAGACTGGCATTTGCCAAACATTTCTATTCACTTATTGGCTAAGGCAATATTAAAATATAATAAATTCATGATTATAAACAAGGAAAATGTAATGTATACATTATTATTGCCGAAAAGCAGCTGAGATGTGCCAAAAAT